CTGATTTTTAGTTATTTTGGTTGGTGGGAGATTTTTACTATAAAAACTCAGTCGGGATGACTCGGGCGTCATTCGTGAAATATAATATATCTTACGAAAGCATGAAACTTTTATAATTTTGTTTTACTGAATCTTATACTAGTCTAGTATCCTTGTCAAAAAATAGATTTTTCAATGTGCCAGAAATACGGGCCGGAACACAAAATGTAATATAATACAATTGGCTGTAAACTTAAAAAAAAAAAATTTCAACTAATAGTATTATAACACTTGATATACCAGGCTGTATTCCCGGTGTTGAAAAATTTTTCCTACCAAAATGTATATCAACTTTGACGAAAATGAATCCTCGTCGGATCCTTTTCCTGGGGATCCTAGGGATCCCATTGTGACTGTTCATCGTACATCGTGCGGTCAGAAATCATTTCAAAATTTAAAACTTAAAGTTAAGTATAAATAGTATCTAACGAAAACTGATCGCACGATGTACAATAAACGATCACGATCGCAGGAATCTAAGATCCCAGAAAAATGATTCGATGAGAATCTTTTACGACTTTGACAAAGCAAAGGATTATCTCTTTTTCAGCGAGTATCTTACTTCCCCTTTTGGAGTGGACCAAGAATCAAAGAAAATAAAGCAAGGCTGCAATACAAAGCAACATCATGAAACACACTTTCATTATTTCTCAAGGGCTTCTTTTAGGCTCTTTTTTGATGTCTTGATTGTCCCCATTCGTCACGAAGAAAATAATTATTGCTCGTCATAGAGATGGTTAAAAAACTTCATTCAAGTGGTCCATATCTTACTTAGACTAGGAAAGGTGAGAGGGTAGGAAATGTACAACACGTGGAAAGGTATTTTATATTTTTAGTCTGAGCAATTTTCTGTTGCAAAATGAGTTGAGTGATGGTAGCTGTCCCTAGTGGGTGTATGTTGCCTCCATCCATGGGCCCAGGAGTCCATTACATCATGGTTTGATGGCTCGGCCCTACAAAAATACCGCCAAACTAAAAGCAAGTTGGTTGAGATGATCTGTATCTGATGCCACGATGGAATGTATTTTGAACAGTTGTCCGAAAACAAAATGAAAATCACATTAATACAGGTAGATCAAGATGATGATACTCATGAACACTTCATCAATTGGGCAAGTAAGTTTTGGTAGCTTAAATCACATTTTGGTATGTGGTAGGCAGCTGTTTCTAAGGGGGGTCGATTTGTTTTTCACGTGCTTTTTCTGGTGCTCAGTTCCCATCTGTTTCCGTACGAAATTTTTTTAGTTGTGATCGGAATGCAAGTGGTACATCACGTGTTTTAATAGGAATGGTGAGAAATTTTATTTTTTAAGTTATTAACTTTTTAGCACACATATCCCGCTATTTATTTAATAACATATGATGTATTACCCCATGTATCGATCACAATGAAAAATCTCTCGTCAGCATACAAGCATTTTCAGGCCTCAATGATTTGGTTAAAGGAGAGGCGGCGCAAAAGAACTTGTACATTTCCAGAAGGCATTCATTGGGCCCCATAGGTTGCCGACAGTTTTGCCTTGAGAAAACCAGAGCGCATTATTGGCCCAACATTTTTTTCCGTTGCCTGAGATGGGCTTTTATATGGGCCTTTTTGGGCCAAATTTTTATATGTGGATCCCAATTTCTGGAGTTAGGATATACCTACATCCTCGGGATGCTACAGTGGCATTATGAACTAATAACACGATGTCATGTGTTTTAAGTTACTCACATGACATCATGTTATTGGTTTGAAACACTGCCACCTTCCCATCCCAGTTTCATGTAAGCCCTTCATTTTGTATGCCAAAGAGAGGGTCAAAGAGGGTTAAAGGAACATCAACAAGAAAAGAAGTTGAGATTGGAATATGAAGCAAAAGAATATACAATTTAGTTGTTCCCGGAAGGGCCATAAACACAACGAAAGCAGTCAACCAGCTCACAAACGGCTCACAAAAAAACTGAACCAACAATGTTAAAAGAGATCAAACCGGATCACAAAATTTTCAAGAGTCTATCCCCGAACTGTTTTGAATTGCATGATCTAAAGCTCGGTGTCACATAAACGAATCATCAGTTCTGAAACCATTCTTCGAGCAAAAGGAATGTAACTCAGGCTGTACCTGAAACAGTTCAGCCGTATATAAGTTGTCTGGATGAACCATTAGTATCCGTATTATGTTTATAAACTAAGATGTTACAAGGTAGACAAGCTGGAAGTTTTTTTCCAGACGGGTGACATGGCACAAAGTGCAAATAATATTCGGCTACTTTGACATTGAACTCGGAAAAAGCTCAGGGTGCATACCCTTTTGCATTTTTTCACTGAAGTGGAAAATAAAATATAGTAAAATAGGCGAATGTGAAAGGCGAACATACCAAATAAGGGCGCAAATCTCACATATGATGGCAATTATTGTTAAAATCTTGCTACGGATCTGCAAGATGACAAGGGAAATGTCAAGATTTGAATTCAGTCCAATAGATCAATGTATTTGGAAAGATCCAATAATCATGTACTGTGATGATAAATTGACATGAGTAGTGGGCACGAGCCAGTAAGCGGGAGGCTGTGAAGACAAGAAGTTGAAAGAAAGGAAAGTTAACCTACATAACCACCTTGCTATCATTACTCAGAAACACAATATTTTAGTTTATACATACTGAAGGTGGGATTGTTGGACAATTGCGGCCAATAGGGATGAAAAAGTGTCGAATCAGGAAACGCGTGGGCTCACTTATATACAGTATAGAAGTTAGAACCATCTCCCTTAATTACCACGACTTACTGAGAATCAGACCCCAAAAAATTTCTAAAGTTGTAGCTTTCACTCAAATTTCTCCATAATATCATAGGATAAAGATTTCATACTAACCAAGAGAGCGCAAATGAGTGCTAGAACAACACATCCAAGGTAAATAGCTGTTGCAAACACTCGAACAGTATCAAACATCATTCTCATTTGTCGTGCAGGGCCAAAGAGGAAAGCTGTACTGCCAAACAGGAATACAGGTTAGCATCTGAACGACTGTGATGAATTTTAGTCAAACTCAGTCGGAGACATGTGCACAAGAAAAAAAAAAAGGTAATTTAAACAAGCCGGAGGAATAACAGTAGAACTAATGCCATCACAAACCGATTCATGTTGACCCACCTTCCAACTGCCAACAAATTGCCAAAGGTGAACAAAACGGCAAATTTGATGGGTTTGGCAAAGACAATCATCGACTGCCAAAGAAGCAAAAGTTGTAAGGAAATGAAGTAACAAAACATCGGAAGCAAAAGTTACTTTTCACATAATTAAGTTGCAACTCCCCATACTTGGTTGCATTATTCTCCCAGTATTACAAAATGGAGATGGAAAGTTCCTCTCATGCATAACTAATCATACAAGAAACTGGCTTAGCTGAACAAGAAGCAGAAACGAGTTTAAAATCGCACGATTCCTGCCCATGAGTAGAACTTTCTTTCCTTATCAAGAACATTCATGTCGAAAAAGAATTTAAATTCCAATATAGTGAGTGTACATACACAATTACATATTAACTCCACCCTGAAACTACAACAATTTCACCAAAACACAAGGAATCATATGTCGAAAAATCCAATTCTTTTCCAATTTCTCTCCCACTACATATAATTCAGTACAGTAACAATACACATTCAAAACAAAATTCAGAAGAATAAAAGTTAAACTACATTAAATATATAGAGGGGCGAAGAATTCACATACCAGGAACATACAAAGCATCCCAGCCAAAAAACAAGCTGCAAACGCGTACATTCTCTGATCAATTCAAAAACCCACATACCCAAAAGCAATGTCAAGCTAAAAAAACAAAGAAATATAGCAAAAATCACACTAAAAATTGAAACTTTATTTGCTATATAAATTGGAACCTGAGTAGCAGAGAGATTAAACAAGCCCTCAGATTCTTCATCCAGTAAGCTCTCTCCTCGCTCTTCATTGTCTCCGAGGATAGATTGGTTCAGCTTCCCCCACATTTTCCCACAAATTAGCCGATCTCCCTTTCCTCTCTCTCTCTCTCTCTCTCCCTCTCTCTGTCTCTCTCTCCCTCTCCTCACTCTGCAAGTTTCAACGGCTTCGAGGAGCTTTACAGCCTACAGCAGAAAATAATGAGAAAATTCGGGGTTTTATTAAAAAAAACAAAAAGGAATTAAAAGGGAAATTGCTCAAAGGACAGCTTGATTTTTCACTTTGTGCATTTACCACCAGAAGAAAAATTAAGGTCTCAAAATTACACTTTCGCCTAATTTTTATTCACAATTTTGCTAAATATGATTACACGACTTGCATCTGAGCCCTTTTTCAAGGTCACTCTTTCTCTCATGCATTTCTAAGTGCAGTGGCGTTTTTGTCAAAAAAAATTATCCTATTCTCAGACATAAAATATTACATACAAACTTATTCTTCGCACAAAATACAATGTTTTCTCATCATTTTCTATACAAAAATTCTAAAACAAATAAACGTATGATATACAATTGATAAGTTTAACGGTTGTGTTGCATTTTCTATAAACTCCCTAACAAGAATGAACTTATAAAACACAGGTCATAGGCTTGTGAATCGATGAAAATTGCCCCTCAAAAAGTGCCCTCATACAAGTCACGCTCTTATATTTGACGAAACTGTAGATGATAAATGACGGGGTGGTTAATTGTAAAACTTTTCAGTTTGAAGGGTAAATTCACAAGAGTGAAGAAGTTCAGTACCATTTTTGCAAATTTTTCAAGCAAAATAATCCTCTTTTTAACGGCCAGGTGGCAGGAGTAGCGTTACTTCTGCAACCGCCTTACTGTAAAAAGGCCTCCCTCAAACGACGAAACGCTGTCGTTTGCGAATCACCGGTTCCTTCTCACTCAAAATTTGGAGATTTTGCTTCGTCCCGAGAGAGAGAGAGAGAGAGAGAGAGAGAGAGGCCCAAAGCCCTAGCTCTTCCGTTTGGCAGAGAAGATGTCGTCGACGCTGCTGGAGCAGACACGTGCAGCTCACGAGGAGGTAGAGCGGCTGGAGCGGCTGATAGTGAAGGACTTCATGAACGAGCCGCCGTCCAGCAAGGACCGCTTGTACCAGGGCCACCGCGTCCGCCAGCTGATCGACACCATCACCTCCACCACCGAAAAACTTGTACGTATTGCTCTCTTCCGTTTCTTCACTTCCTACACTCTCTGTGCGATTGCGACTGTACGGAATGTGTGTGGATTCTTTGGAATTTAGGTTTTTTAATTGCGGAAACTCTAGGGCTAGGGGTTTTGATTTTGACTGCGAATTGGGGGGTTTCTGTGTGTGTTTGGTTTCAGATTGAGATCTATGAAGATAAAGATAATGCGAGGAAGGACGAGATTGCGGCTCTCGGAGGCCAGACTGCCACTGGCACCAACGTTTTCAGCGCATTTTATGATAGATTGAAAGAGGTATTTCTTTCTGTTGGTTTTGTTTGTAGATTTTGTTGTATGAAGAAGTTATAGTTTTAGTAATGGTGTTTACTACTTTGGGGATTTTTGAAGTGGGAGCTTTAACCGTTTGTCGAAATTTGTGTTTTTGCGTGTAAGAGTGTGTGTTGCGTACTGATTTTCCAAAATTTAGTTTGGGGAACCAAAAAATGAGAAGTCGGAGTACTTGGTAGTTTAACGATGAGTCTATCAATTAGGTGTGACTTGGAGTTTAAGTTTTTTTGGTGTAATGTTTGCCATATGTGCAGATTCGTGAGTATCACCGAAAGCATCCGGTTGCTCGGGCTGTTGATGCTAATGAGGAAGAAGAAGCACTGCTTAAGGAGGAACCTCAAATCGAGTTCAGTGGAGAGGTCACTATCTCTCTCTCTCTCACTCTTTCTTTCCCTATCTCTGTGTTTATGTCTCTGTATCTATCTCTGTGTGTATGCATGCCTGTGCAAACTATTCTTGAAGTTACAAAGACGAGTGAACTTAGATTGATTCGGTTATTTTGCTTCCACACAAGATGTGGAAATATCGATCCGTAAAATGCTACTTCTTTGTTGTTTGTTTGTTCCTGTTGGACAGTAACTATGTAGTTAGGCAAATAATACAGAAATGGGTTATCTGGTTATCATCTTTGTTTATTCAGGTTGTTTCATTTGTCTTTTGATAAACACTACTTAGTTGTTACATTTATACTTCCTATCCTTTTATTAATTTGTTTTGTTCTGTTTTTAGGAAGCTTTTGGACGATACCTTGACTTGCATGAACTATATAACCAGTATATTAATTCCAAATTTGGAGAACCTATTGAGTACTCTGCTTACCTTGATACTATTTCACAACCACAAAAGATTCCTCGCAAGCTGAAGACATCAAGGTGAAGTGTTATATTATTTTCTTCCGCCATTGCTTTTAATTCATGTACATGAAATTTGGGAATGATTTTGTTTTATTTTTTTTAGGCAGTACAGGGAATATATGGAAAATCTACTCGCATATCTGATATATTTTTTCCAGAGGACAGAACCTTTGCAAGATCTTGACAGGATATTTTTGAAGGTTCATATCAATACTATCTTCTTTACTTGTATTAGTGTGATGCAACAGCATCAATTTTTAGTCTTGTTTTCATAGGAAAGTGAATCAGAAATATGTATTTATCATTCTTAATAGTTTCCAGTTTTGAATTTTCTTAGGTTTGAATGTAATAATTCACTAGTACTCTAGTAAATTTGCACAAAATAATGATAAACGTTGCAGTTGAGCATACCTTTGTTATATTTTAATGATTTGAAGGCTTGAATCACAATTGACCGTAGTAGTAATTCATGTTATACATGGGCCTTAACAATCTCTTTGTGTGTATGTACGTTTGTGTACATTTATGTATGTATGAAATCAATTTATCATTGTGAACTTAATGTTTTCTGTTGAATGGGCTATTGCAAAAACATTTAGGCATGATTCGATATAATTCCACGGTATCTCTGAATTTGGACTCTGGTTGGATTTGGAATTTTGAACTATGGTATTTTTTTGGCAGGTTGAAACTGAATTTGAAGACCAATGGGTAGATGGTAAGGTTAAAGGATGGGAAAATGAGAAGCAAGAAAATGGGCATGTTCAAGATCAACTTACTATGATCGATCTTGATTATTATAGCACGGTGGAAGAACTTATGGAAGTGGGTCCTGAAAAGCTAAAGGAGGTAAGGGTGACGTTTATGATGTAAAAAGAAAAGTTATTGGCAAAAAATTAGACCTTAAATGCACGCAGCTTGATGTAAAAAGTTACTAAATAATGATTATTAAAATCTCAAAATTAACTTGTTAATGAATAGAAATGTTTTAGTATTAGTGAGAAATAGAGAAGAAGGGAATGGGAAAAGTGGAGAGGAAATTAACTAGTTAGGGAATAGGGGTTGCCAGAATTACTTGCACAGTCTTTCATATGTATTTGAAAATTCTTGTAATCAATGATGTTGTTAAATGTGTCTGGAATTAAAGAACTAGAACGAATTTAATGTCACCCAAAAAAATATAATCCAAGTTCAATTCTGTGTTTAAAACACATCTTAAGCGATCTCTATATATTTCTTTCTCACAAAATAAAAAAGAAATTTTCCTTATATTCTCTCTTTAAAATATCTTCTAGGCACTAGCATCATTAGGACTGAAGACGGGTGGTACTGTTCAGCAGCGTGCAGAGAGACTTTTCCTTACAAAGGTGGTGGTTCTGTAACTTTTTCTCCTATAAAGTGGCCTATTTGATATGTGCTTGTACATATTCTGTTCTGTAGTTTCTTAATCAGTATTCTAGGCAGTATGTCAAAATACTTGAAATGTCCAAAATTGGTTTCTTGTTGTGATGGGGATCAATAAGACTATTAACTTAGCCAGAAATCTGGGCGCCCTAGCTTGCCCAAATCATTGCACTGCATGCTGCTATGTTAATGATGTATTATTAACAAATTTGAATCCTAATGGAAACCTGTCTGATCATGTGACTTCCTTTTCACCGTTTCTGATTTAATTTCCGTTCCACGTTAACTAAAATCTCTTTGTTTATGTTACACAGGACACACCTCTGGAGAAGTTGGACAAGAAACATTTTGCCAAAGGTTCGCGTGGTGCTGAACAAAATGGGGCTGCTGCAGCTCCACAACAAGTTGACAATTTAAAAGAAATTGCTTTATTGGAGGCTAAAACGAAAAAATTATGCGACTTACTGAGTGAGGTTGGCATATGTTAACTAATTTTCTAGTCTCACATGTTTGTGTCTGTAGTTTGTTTTTAATGGCCTACTTCCATTGCTTTTGAGTTTGAATATCAGTGCACATTTACAAAAATAATCGGTGGAACTGTGCAGGCTATTGAAAGAACAAGAGACAACATCATGAAGAAACAGGCTTTGACGTATGAAGAAATTGAAGCAGAGCGTGAAGAGGTAAGAAATCACCCCCTAAAGAAATATGCTGACATCAATGAAATCATATAGTTAGTTTTCTTTGTTGATCACATTTGTGGTGGTATTGTAACAAATGCTTTGATTGGGTTTGATTCCTCACAGGAGGAGACGCAGGCCGATACTGAAAGTGACGATGATGAACAACAGATTTACAATCCACTGAAATTGCCAATGGGTTGGGATGGGAAGCCCATTCCGTACTGGCTGTATAAGCTTCATGGTCTTGGTCAGGTAAGCTAATTTTATTTTGCAGAATGATTTAGTTCTTCATATGTTCTTGTTTCCCGCTTGGATGTGAATCATGTTTTACTGCCAAGGTGCCTGGGGACTATTTTACGTGTGAGATTTGCGGAATTAAAAATCAGGTGATTGCAACTCTATCCATTCATTTCAGGAATTCAAGTGTGAGATTTGCGGGAATTACAGTTACTGGGGACGTAGAGCTTTCGAGAGACATTTTAAGGAATGGCGCCATCAGCATGGTATGCGTTGCCTTGGCATACCGAACACCAAGAACTTCAATGAGATCACATCAATTGAGGTATATTCTTTTCCGAATAATTCGCTAGCTTAGTATTTTGCAGAAGTCTAAACCATGTCACCATGCAGGAAGCTAAAGAACTCTGGAAGAGGATACAAGCACGACAAGGCGTGAACAAGTGGCGCCCGGATCTTGAAGAAGAGTACGAAGACAGAGAGGGTAACATATACAATAAGAAGACATACACCGATCTGCAGCGACAGGGACTGATTTAAAGAATGCAGCTGTTTGGTGTTATATCATTCTTTGCTTGATAGTATGTAATGATGCTGAGTGGGGTTGTGCCAACCTAGCCATAGTCTCTGGGTTGCGACGCGGTTGAGAGCGGGCCGGTGAGATTGTAGGATTTTTGTAGCGAAGAGTGACGAAAAGTATAAGATCTTGATGTTATGTAGCATTTGAACACATCAACCATTCTACTGCCACTTGAATCTGTTGTGCATGTTCTATCTTTATGGAGTTGCTTCGCGTTTTTTTTCGCTGTCTCTTATTATCGGGATGTTTTAGTTGCATGAGCGTGCTTGTGTTCGCGTTAAATGTTAATGGAAAACATAGAGAAGGAATAGATGTGGTTTCTCTCTGAAGTGCTATCACTAACGAGGAGACAACTCCTAGATAATTACACTCGGAACAATTGTTATTTAACAACTTTCATCGAAACCAGACCGTGTAAATAAGAGTGCAGAACCATTTACCCCACGAAGGACGAGCAGTCTGGAGTCGACGTATGTTCCACACACGACCTTCGACAAATCGAACATTTCAGGCGGGACTTGTATCCGAATTTCTTGAACTACATTTCCTGCACTATTGAGATTTTTACTCAATGGATCACCGAGATTCAGTGTTACTCCATCGACGCCGCTTGAAACGAGTTTGGCCACGGGCAGGCTTGATGGAGACTCTTTAAATGGGAGTGCTTTCCTCCACTTTCCACCTGATAATTTCTGAGCAAAGGCGTCGCGAGCATTAGACGGGCTGAAAGAGAGTTGTCCTGTGTTCTTTTCTTCTTCCTTGAGATATAACCGTCTCCCGGCCATTAATCTAAATAAAGAGTTTACTTGCAGTTTCCCCTCTACACCAGTCTTGTCATGGGGCCAGTTCTCGCCAGTCATGACTGTGAAGCCAATGTCAGAGATAAACGACAGGTTGGTGTTCAACTTCGATACTCTTGATACGGTTAGGTGTACATGGCCAATGAGGACTTGTTCAGGAGGTTGCCGAAAGGTTAAACCAATGTGCCTTCCAGTACAGTACAACAGACGCCACTTTCCTGGCAGCAATTCCAGCCAATTCTGCATGTCCAAAATATAGAAGAAAAAGAATAGAGCGAGGATAATAAGAGGCGAGAGTATGGAATGTCGTCAAGCAATAGCCAAGCGAGAGACACATAAAAGAACACATAGTTCACTACCTTTGGCCTTGAATGAGGATTTAGCATCTCCATTAACTCGATGAAGTGAGATAGCCTGCTACGCTGAAACATAAAATTACAGAGTCAGTAAATTTCACAAGCACCAAGTTTCTGCATTCACAAATTATGACGACATTTCAGTAAGACTCAGTGACTCATACGAAAAAAGTTCATCTATGTTGGAAAAGAAACCATATACCTGAGGCTGGCCGTAAATGTATTCTTCTGAGATTCGCATTGCAGTTGAGCCAAGTCCCCATCTGATGATATCGATGGATGGGACTACCCGCCACCGAGGTCCACATAGAAATGGGTGTGTAAGAGAATCTAAGCAACTGTGAACGATTTGAAAAGGATTATTGTATTTGGAGTTAGTTCTCTCCATAAGAACACTTCACTTGAAGAGTAGATCCCTGCTTCACATATGAACCGTTGCATACCTTACTCTTTTAGAAGGTTTTGTTGCTAGCAACAAGGATAAAAGGTTCCACCCTGCACCCCAATTCCTATCGAGTATCTGCAAGTAAGATAATAAACAAAAACGCTTCACCAAAATGGGAAGGGGTCTTGAATTCACAGTAAGTTGCACTGATGGCACAGTACTTACTTGCAGTCCAGCGTTTCCAGATGAGGAATTTCTATGGAGTATTTGCAATAAAAATTCACGCAAGCATGAAGGGTCATTTCCCTGAATTTGCACAATTGATAAAAATAGGCATTAGAATAAACAAATCCATCAACCAAAGACCAAAGTTAGGAAAATTTTGCATTTCACCTTTGTGAGAAATGATTTGAACTTTGTAAATATAACAGGATCCATAAGTTCCTGCATCACCATTTTTGCCATCATGAATCCAAGACATCTGCGCAACACGTATGGAACAAAATAAGTATTCAGATCCTGCGGAGAAATCAACGCGAAACTTTTTACAAATATCTCTTTGTCATCTCCAAACTGTACCTCATGTCAAATGCAATCATCATTTGTCGCCTATCCAAGTTATTATCCATAGTTCCATCCGGACGATCCTCATAAAAGTCAGCAGCACTACCTAATATTCCTACCTGATAGGAGAGAAATTCATTACACATAAAAAAGATTCATAAATAGGAGGTAACTGTTCTTATCAGATTCCATATCATAGTTCACGTCACTCGTGTCAGTATCTATAAAAAATCTGGAGCTCACTTTAATGTGTCTATCCACTGGACTTATGTGCACATTCTCCAGCCTCAATTCCGTGTGGGCAAGTCCATGGCTGTGCAAGTAGTTCACCTGAGTTGAAATAAGCATTTGAAATACCACAATCCATCATTTTCTTGACCGAAAATACTAGGCACTCATTACTAAAGAAATCATACATACTCCAATTAAGAGATCTCTCATCAGTATTCTAGTCATTCGTAGTTGCCGAGAAACTGCAGATCCTCCAACTGTGTCATCACCCACTTTTCTAACAGATTCCTTGTCCAATGCAAGAGTAGCCTCCAAGGTTGGGAGCCAATCCGATTGTTGTAGCCAATGTCTTAAAGAAAAACTACCATGATACTGCAACAAAAAAAAAATTAATCAGTTCTCTCTGTGTTAGTAGATCAGATGATCAAATGATTCAGAGAAGAAAGTTTTCAGGTATACTTTGTTCAACCCACATGCTATCTAAGTAGAATTCATGATACAACAAAGGGACGTACCCCATGGACCAGAGTGAATGAGGAACGACCACTACTTGTAGCTGAAGAGATGTAACCATGCACTTGCATTGAATAAGAATGGTACATGAGTCTACGACGAGCTAACTTCTTTAACACCTGATGACATCAATGATTCAATAGTAAAGAATTAGAATCGAATAAGACGAAACCTTACATAACAAAGTATAACAATTTAACGCGTCCACAGACCTCTATTGCTCGTCTACCCCTACGCTGAGCTCGAACACTAGTAAGACGTCGAAGTACAACTTGTGTATTATACAAAGGGCTGCAATTTCATAAAACGAGTCATCAAGATTGATCTTGCAGAAAAATGTCATTATCAAACCAAAAGTAAACTTACCTATCAGTATCCTTTACTATAGCTTCAAAAACCACTTCGCCTGCCTACAGAAAAAAAAGCTCGGATCATTTAGACAACAACGAAATCAACGGATCACAGGTATAACATTAGCGCATGCATAAAAGTACAACAGCTTCATACCCGACCACCAAGGCCAACACTAACAAGGTCAAGAATCTTGAAATCGGAGATCTTGAACCTTATGACATGCCCTGATTCTTCTTCCACAGGAGCAGACAAGTCACTCGGAGCATTCTCCTCCATTTTCAGTGATGAACAACGGACTCCCAAACACAGTCTCCTCTTCCAATCCGATGTCTTTCCAATGGTCCTCATAAGGCTCGGTCTGATCAGTCTTGTCGACAAGTTTCCACCAACACAAACTACTTCAAAACTTTCAAAACTTGGACTCAAGCCAACCCCACATAGCGCCATTGATCGAGCTTAAAACGCCACGTAACAAAAAAGAAGATGATATCAGTTTCTGAAACTTCTCAATTAAGAAGCATGTTGGAACACAACCTTTAATCAATAAACTTCTATGATCAAGCACTTCATACCGTTCCGGTTTAATCAATTAGTTCCATAATCCAACTCAATTAGGTCCGAATTATTCATTTCCAGCATTACTTTTCTTTCCCGTTCAATTTTCTCACCAGCCAAACAAAACAAGTTCCAACACAATTCTTCCTCAATCAATCATAAAAACTGAAGAATTAGAAAGAAAACAAATCGAAAAGCACATAGCTTTCACATTTTTCAATTCCAGCTCCCCAAAAGAAACAACAAAAAAGAAATGCAATTTTCGAAAACTAATTCAGCTCCAATTAAACTAAACAGTCATTTTTTTGTTGATTAAGTCTGAAATCTTGGCAGTTATTGTGAATTATGTTGAAGTCCGGAAAAACTATTGAATCGAAACCCAAATTTCCAACAATTCGATGCATTTTCTCGGCAACCAAACACTCAAAAGCTACACAATTTATGAGGGAAATTCATAAAAAGGAGTGGAATTTCGCAGCACTTACCGGAAAAATATTGAAAAAGGAGGACACGGCTAGTTACTGAGGAATGAAACTGAAAGGGAGAGGAAGGGAGTGTATATATATATATGTATGTATAGGTGTACGTATAGATTGCGAGCCTGAGGAGGAAAGCGGTGCGCGCGTGGTGGAGGAGAGTTGCGTGTGCGAGAGACTGGGCGAAGCGTTTCGCCATGGGTTTGTCGCACGTCTGCGTCCCGCCCCTCCAAATATCTAGTGGCTTTCTTCTTTCTTTGATCGCGGCCGTTCGTTAATGAGTGCCAATCATGAAACGACGGTTCTGATTTTGTTGAATTTTGTCGGCGTTGGAATCTAAGTTTAACCGGATGAGGACAACCCGATGTTAGTTTTTTGTTCTGTTAGTGAAGTTATAATATGATTAATTTTTAAAGGTAGCAAGACCTAAAGTAATACAAATTATACCAGAAAGGTTTGATTACAAAGTTTGAAATTTCTCAATACGATCAATATTTCTGTGAAAGTATCAAAAAAATGGAAGAAAAATATGAGGAGGTAAAGTCTAAACTTAACAAGATTTTGGAGAAACTCTTAAATTTTCGTCAAAATCTTTCTGTCAATACTTCCGAGTTTAGGCATATCGGTTGAATATTGACCAACTGCCGTATGTTCGCACGATAGGAGGGTAATCCTTTATGTTATGAGTCAATATTGTAGGCTTTTTTATTTTCTTTACTAGGCCCATTTTCTCTAAGCACAAGTACTAGTAAAGCCCTTCTCAGAGGTACTACTACCAGCAAAAACTCTCGATAATAAGACGTAAGAAGGTTTTACGTTTGATGGAATCCCGTCCTTACTTTTAGAGATAAAAAAGCGATTATCTTGCAGTACTTTCTAGTAAACTCTTAAGTACTTTACTTTTGTAAGGATGTTTTCACGAATTTACGTATCGATATTGCCAACACTACCGATATTTTAAATATTGGTGAATGTGAGACAGATTTGAACTCGGCCAGTGAATGATTGTGTCCAACTAAAATTTCTCACACTTGGGTTTGGCATGCTGAGTTTGCTGGTTGATTTAAAAAGGATGGGGTTTAGGGCTTTCCATCTTGGGCTTTTATTGGCAGACCCACACACTGGCCCAGCCCAGCTGTGCACAAAAAATGTTCAAAACTCAAATGCCAACTTCAAGTTTCGAACTTGAGAGTTGAGAAGGCAGCTGTAAATATTTTTTTTTAATTTCACCACTTTTTTTTTCTTTTCTTTTAAAAATTATGGCCTTCTTTGTAGCATTTTAGGACACAACTTATTTGACAGACAGTCACATTCACACGCATTAATATTTATTTAAAATTTATATCTTAATGAGCATCTTGTATTTCATAAAAATTAGGGGCAATATAATCCTTAGTAAGCATGGATGATAAACAAATTTCTTTTTCAAAAATTTTAAATCGATTCCAGACGCTAAATTTTTATTACTTTTGTCTATATGGGTTTTTTTTTTTGGGTAATACTTTAATTTTAATGAACTATTTATCGAGTCACCTGTTAAGAATTTGTTAACGAGTTGAGTCGTTATTAAGTCAAGCGTTAAAAACCTGACAAGATATCGTTTGCATTAGGCATGATAATTTTTTGAGCGACCCGTTAACTCAATGCGAAACGACGTTATCTAATCATCTATTAATAATCTGTTAAAATAACGAATTTGACACGACATAATTCATTAAGATAACAAGTAAAATACAAAAACAACACAAACACGACCCATATACAGACCTACCGATGAGTTATTTACAACTTGGAAGGAAAAAGACCCCATCAAAAAGAAAAAACTCAAAAGGAAACGATAAGTATTATTTTATTTCTTTCAGGTAGGAAACTATGGAATCAGAGGAATCCCGATCGGAATCGAAATAAACGGAAAATGGGAAGGGCAATCGCGTCAGATAAAAAACACAAAAACTGTCCACCAAGTCGTCTCTGAGTCTCATTTACTCTCTCCAAATCCGATAAACCAACAAGAAACAGAAGCCTCGCCTCTCTCTCTCTCTCCTCTCTCTCTCTCTCTCTTCATCTTTTTAATATCACGTGTTTTTCCACATTTATCCCCAGCCGACGCCCACTCCCTCTCTGTCTCAGCCGTAATTTTCACCATTTTCGATCCCTATCTCATACCTTCTATCCCTATCTCATACCTTCTATCCACCGGCGATCCGCCCTCTCCGCCGCCGCCCGCTCTTTCCTTCCGGTTAGGTTTTTTTATATTATTTTCTGGGCTTGGTTTAACCCTTTAAGAATTAGGGTTTCCAAATTTGCACATTGGATTGGAGCACTCGGTTTCGTTACAAGTAGGGTTTCAATCTCCAATCTGAACACTGGATCTATCTCGGCGATTGAATCTGGGATATCCGCTATTCGGTTTGGGATTTCAATTTTTCGTTAGGGTTTTTTGAAATTTTGAATTTTGTTGAGATTTTGATACTGTTTGAGGATTCAAAATTAGGGTTTTGAGTGCTTCGCAGTGATGACGAGGAGTTCAAGGCACAAATCAAGCAAACATAGCTCGAGGGATACCAAGGAGTATTCGGATTCGGAGAAAGATTCGAGCTTAAAGGATCGAAGGGGCAAGGAAGAGAGTGGTGTAGTTAGGGTTTCAAAGGATTCAAGTTCGAGTGAGAAGCGGAAGCTTGATTTAAAGGATGGGAAGGACTCGGGTGGCGGCTCCGGGAATGGGGACTATTCGGTGGATTTAGTATCGACTAAGCGGCGCAAGGAGAGGCTTGATGATGGAGGGAGTGATAGGTGGAATGGAGGCGATGATGATCACCGAAGAAGCAGTGAGGGGTCGAAGAAGTCGTTGAAGGCATCAGGGGAGTCCAAGAGTAAGAAAAGAGATGAGAGTGTGGAATTGTATGCAGAGGGTGGCGAAGTGAAGAAGAATTCTAGTAGTAGTGGAAAGGGTGAAGGGAGGCATAGGGATAAGGATAAGGAGTCAATTCGAAAGGAGGGCAAGGAAGGTGGTGGAGCAGAGAGGGAGAAGGAAAGGGACAGGGAAAAGGAGAGGGACAGGGAGAGAGAAAGGGAAAAGAAAGGTAAAGATGGGAGAACCGAGCGATTGGTCAGTAGCGATGAACAACGTGTCACTGCAAAGCAAGTCAATGAAAAAACTGGTAAGGTAACTGATTGGGTTGTTTGTTATTTTGTAGTTTATACGTCTATATGGATTCTTTTCCAGCAGTGTGTTACTTCGTATGACTAGTTTACTGTATAGTCATATGCTTACAGTTTTACTCCCCCTCCCCCACTTTTCCGGCCAAGAGAATGCTGATAATTTCAAAGATCGTAACTTCGCACTTAGTTTACTTCATTGTAGTTTACTGTGATTTAGTGTGATGAATTACAATATGGTACACCATTATGGTGTAACTGATCCATCTTTGTTTGGTTGTAGTACTATATTTCTGAGTAACTGTCATATCATACAATACAGATTGCTGACTCTGATAGGGAATCCGTTTTCAAAAAAGCAAACCAAATTGGAAACAGCTTATGAAGAATTTGTTAGAGGCATATCTAGTCGCTTAGAATTAAAATTCTCTTTCTATCCATCTATGTAGTGATTTCCGCGTGTCATTGTAATGTGATTCTTTTCATCGTTTACCTTGATAGAATATTTATACGCTTTCCACAAATAATTTTTGGTGGAAATTGAACTCTGATGGGGGTTAGAGATTTAGATAAGAGGAATAAAATTTTTGGAGCATGCCGTATTTGATCGGCAAGATTTTTTAGCACACTTTGAAGGGAAACTATATTTGAGTTCATTGAAGTCAGATTCATGACTTTTGAAAGGGGATCCATCTTGGTAAAATTTGGATTTTGTTATATTACATAACGTAGGTGGGAGTGGTAGTAATGAAAGTTTTTACATAGATCTTAATGCTTCAGTTTGCAGTTGGTGGATAGATCTTACTCTGTTGAATAGATATACAGATTGAACTCGATATACAGATTGAACTGGAGTGATGATGTAAAAGGGGTTGCTATTATGGCTTTTTGTAACATCTCATATCTATTGGATGCTGCAGTCTGCCTTAATCGTGGGACCTACTGCTGTTTTTGTATATTAGTAATTATGTTCCTTGTCATTATTAGTTTTGTAGTCACTTAAAGACGTTGGGCTCACTATGTTAATTTTTCCTTTACCATTATGCTCCATTTGCCTTTCTATTCCCAAATTTACGCTGGATGCAACATCTGGGGAAATGATCCACGTGACTGCTTGAGGTTTAGTGGGATTGCCTGACCCATTAGTTGCCATATTCTCATTGGTCTACTTGACGTGGCCGTTTCACCTCTAGATTTTGGAATTATTACTCATCTTTTATACCTTAAAGGTTCCAGTAAGACCGTATTTGCAGGGGTGATCCTATCAAGTCTGTGCAGTTAACCTCTCTTCTATCACCTTCTGAATTTTTTTTTTAATGCCCATATGTGAATCGAGGGGGGATCGAAACGTACTCTTGAGAAGTTTGGAGGTGTAGCCGTTTTCTTTAATTTCCCCTAATTCTGGAGTGATTATGATTTTCATCTTTATGACACTTTGGTTGGCTTGTTGATTATCTTATCGGATGTTTGCCCTTGGGGAAGATGTGGATGTTTTGAGCCAGGTTTGCATTTCTCATATTTATAGGTTTTATGAGTTGTCATTGTATTACTTGTGTAGTTGAATATTGTCTTTCCCATGTCAGTCATTAAAATCTCTTAATCATGTTTATTGATACAGTTTCTTAATTGCTCTTTTCCACATCTTTTGTTATTTTAATTGTTTCTTCTTAAAATGTTTATTAGCGCAAGGGCTTATCCTGTTGGCTGTTTTAATAATTGTCATGATCATTAACTGATTTTCATTTTAGTTAACATTCAGTATTTGTTTGGAATGGAACTAGATGTATGAAGGCACCAATTATGTGTGTCAATTGCTGGATTAATTGCTAAGATATGAATTATTGCTGTTAATGAAGAGGCAAAGAGATCAGATCATTAACTGATTTTCATTTTGTTTTTTTCCTGCATGATTCTTCAGTAAGACACAGTAAAGGCCATTGGAATATATATTTTGCTTCATGCAAAATATAATTAATGTGTTGGACCAATAAAAATTTGTATGTATCGTTTACCCTATGCCAAATGACGTATGTTGTTTTGAGATATGTAAAAAATATTTAGTGGTACATAACATGTGTGACCAAAAGCTAAAAAGGCTACCAAATGACTTATCTGGCTTCAACATAATCTTTAGGGGGCATGTAGTATTAATGAGTTGACAATATTCTATAGTATGTAGATGACTTTGCTAAAACTAAACTTTATGTTCGCAGTTTTATTTTGGAGTGCAATTCTATGTCTTATTTCATGTGGTTTTGCAGATTTAAATGCATGGGATGAATTGGAAAGTCCTAACTCAGAGAACCAGATTGAGAGACGAATGAGGAAAAGGAGAGATGATTTTGGTGATGGGGATAAGCATCAAGATGATGTGGAAGACATCAATGACGGGCTATTATCTTATAGGGATGATTCTGGCAGGGATAGCAGGCATAAAGATGAGAAGCGGAAGGATGAGAGATACAGAGAAAAACATCGGGAAGATGTGGATAAGGACAATAAGCACCGAGATGACAAGCAAAGAGATGAGCGCCCTCCAAAAGATTATGCTAGCAGCAAGTCTGATGAGAAGCATTTAAGGGATGAAAAGGATTTGATAGAAATCCAACAGAAGAGATCCAAGATTCAAGATGGTGAACGCAAAGTAGATCATGATCGCGATCGCGATCGCAATAGGGACCGTGACTCATATCATGTCCGCGATCGCGATCGTGACCGCTACCATGATCGTGAACGCGAACATGGGTGGGATCATGGTCGTGACCGTGATTATGATCGTGATTGGGATTGGGACCGTGAGCGGGAGCGAGATGGGGATCGCGAGCGAGACCGCAATCATGACCGTGATAGAGATGGTGATCGAGATCGCGATAGGGATTATGACCGGGACTATGACGGGTCACATATTGATGATCGCAGCACGAGATACAAAGATAGTAGCAGGGGAAAGAAAAGATCTCCGGATGATCGTGATGATGGTTGTGATAAATCCAGAGGTATGAAAGCTCGGTACTCTGACTTGGAAAAAAAGTCATCCAGTGGTGATAGAGTTGAGTCAGATGCTAATAAGGGAAGATCTCAGTCGCGGCAAGCTTATGTAGACACTAAATTGAGTGTCAATAAACGCAGGACTTCCCTCGTTTCTAATTCACATGGTGGCATAGATGAGTACAGGTACCCCTCTCTCTCTCTCTAGTTCTGTGTGCAATAGTTTCTTGGTTGGAAAGGAAATACTGTGATTGTGTTTAACCTTTTCATTTTTTGATGCATTTTTGTATTGTATGCTAATATGTCATCATTTTTTTCCTGGTCCAAGGTATCTAAATTCAGAAGATTTGAAATATAGGGATTCTGGAGTAGAGCATAGGTCCAAAGCAATGCCTCCCAAAGATGGTTCTGGTCCCACTGGAGTTTCAGAAAGAGGTTCCAAGTACAGATCCATGGAGAAACCCAATAAAATGGATGATGGCCATTTAGGCGAGCTGTCAAATGACAAGTCTTCCAGTTCCAAGGCTTCACCCCTGCCCTTGATGGAAAGGTCTCCTTCATCATCAAGTATTGACCGCAGGTACGTGAACAGAACTGGTGTCAGACGGAGTCTTGACATTGAAGAAACAGGTCGAAGAAGCAGCGCTTCCGTGGACAACAGAGATTTCTCTAATACTGAGGATAGACAGGGTCGGGACCTACCATCAGAGAAGCCTTTGGCAGATGAGTCATCCCCACCTGATTCGTCAACTAATAATAGAAGTAATCAGAGTAATTTATCTTCTTTGTATCCCCCTCACCCCAATTTTAGGGTTGGAGTTGACAGCCCTTTTATTGGTTCAATGGAAGAAGAAGGTAGAGGTAACTCCAATGCACGTTACAGGAGGGGTAGTGATCCCAATTTGGTTCGAGGGCATGGTAATGCATGGAGGGGTGTCCCAAGCTGGAATTCACCAGTTCCAAATGGCTTCATGCATTTCCAACATGGGGCACCTCACGGTGGTTTTCAAGGGATGCTACCACAGTTTCCAGCTCCACCAATTTTTGGTGTTAGACCTTCAATGGATATTAACCACTCTGGGATGCCTTATCATATGCCTGACGCTGAGAGATTTTCCAATCACTTGCGGCCACTTGGGTGGCAGAATATGATGGATGGTTCAGGTCCTTCTCACTTGCATCTATGGGATGGGAGTAATGGTGCCTTTAGGGATGAGACTCACATGTATGGGGGTGCCGAATGGGATCAAAGCAGGCATCCAATGAATGCTCGCGGATGGGAATCTGGTGGTGAGACATGGAAAGTTCATAACAATGATGTGAAAAGAGACTTGCCTTCCCCAGCACAGAAAGATGATTATCTTGTGCAGGCTGCCATGGATGATGCTGTGGCTGGGAAGACAGGTCAGATGTCTCTCCATGAGGATAACCTGGATCTTGGAGTTTCTAAAACCGTTGAAAGAAGGTCCACTGTGACCTCTCCTTTAAAGGAGCCTATGCCTAAAAGTAGTCACGAGAAGTCACCTGGCCACTCTAAATTTCAGAGTGATGATGTCCTCTCATTAAGTCATTATTATCTTTCCAAGCTTGACATTTCATCAGAACTTGCTCATCCCGAGGTGTATAGCCAATGTATGAGCATACTGGATGGTGAACGAAGTGCAACTGTTGATGAAGATGCTACTACACATACAATTTTGGAGGTGCAGATTCTTTCCAAAACTTAGTTTAGAGCGTTTTGATTTTAGAACCTAGTCTTACTAATTGCATCTTCCTCCTAATGTCACAGGGTGTAAGAGCAGGATTGAAATCGTCCAGAACCTTATTAAGTTCCTCACTTTTTCCTCCTTTGAAGGATTTTGTCTTTCAGGTATACATACTTGAATTTCTTGCTTACATAATTGCAGGTATAAATCTTTATGTATTTGCATCCTAGTTGACTGACATTTTATTTTCTGACTTGCAGAAAGCGATGAATCTTTACAAGAAGCAGAGGATGGAAACTATAGGCTTGCCAATTATTGCTGGAGGAGCATTGGATATTATTTTAGCATCTGATCCGGAGAATATGGAATCAAAAGGCCGTTGTGGTGTGGAGAAAGTAGAGGGAGTAGTCCGGACTTCTGATGCAGAAATGGAAGGTGCTCCTGTCCTGACTTCTGATGTAGGAATGGCAGATGCTCCTCTTGGCACTGCATTGGGTGATGGTGCTGAGAACCTGGAGGTACCAGTTTCATCTCCGGATCACGAGGTGCAGAACGACACATGCGTCCCTTCTCCTATTTTGGAAATGGCAGCTGGAGATAATGGTGGAAGCAAAGCAGGAGATCCCCAAACAATTTCAAATGGGGTGGAAATAGAATCCTCGGAGCAGGTGAAATTAGATGTTGGCGATGCAAATGGTCTCTCATCACCTGGTATCGAGTCTCTTGCTACCATCACTTTACCTGCTGCAGCTGCTAACGACAATGTGATTAGCAAGACTAAAGATGATAATCCAATTGATCAGGCTTCTACCGAAGGCGCGGCTGATGCAGTAACTGGTCCTTTAATAATACCCGAGGGTTCCCAAAAGGCTTGTGGGGCTTTGATGCCGGGGTCTAATGAGTCTGATTCGGTAATTTTAAGTCGGATACATCATTCTCCTGAAAGTACACATTGAACAGTTTCTTCTCTATCCATGTTTTTTTTAGGTTCCTTTTATTGCATTTCAGTTAATCATGCTCATCTTATTTTCTGTGGCTGCTCATTTCAGCAAGGAAATAAAATCAAAATTTCGGTTTTCGGCTCCTTGAGCTTTGCCCGTAGTCTTGTTTTCTTCCAGCCCTTGACCTTGTTGCGTTTCGTTTTACCGTTCATTGTCTTGCATTGTCGCCATTTTCTTCGACGTCGATAATTTGTTGCTTGAATTTCTTGCATGGTGTGTTTTCTGCTTCTACCTGGCTTTTGTATACTCCACACACACACGTGCAGTAACTTGTCGAGTTTGTGTTTCTTAGGACGTTGTGTAAAATTCGTTAAATGTCTTTAGATGTACAAATGAACATGATTTGGAGTGTGTTACAAGGAACATGACCAATTCGCCATCTGGAGATAGAAAATTAACCAAAAAAGCCAACTGCCAATCCAATCAGTAACGGTAAAATATAACATCCGGCAAATATATAGAGTTCTGATGTAGTCATCTGCTCCGCCTTCGTTTTCATCCTAGTCGAGAGCCCCAGCTTCATCGGGCATGGACTTGAGGATCACATAAGCTTTGTCGTCCTGATAATCGCGAAGCCTGACAAAATCATCTGCTGCAATCCAAACCTTCTTGTGCATCGTACTGCGGATGTGACAAAGTCGCTTCTTCCCAGCAATGCGCATGGCTTCACACCGGCCAGTACCAAACATTCGGAGCACTTGGGCATACTCCTGTCCATCTTTCTTAAAGAAAAGCTCACCTTTTCGTCACCAGCCTCGTTCTTGCCTCTCTTCCTGTTCTTTCCTCCCTTAACCTTGTTCCTCGGCTGATTACTAGCTCTGTTTCTCTGCTTTGCGAAGGGGCGAAACTTGCAGGTGGATTGGATTCGATGGAGGAGCACAATACAAGCAATAACGAGCAATAAATCCTAATAAACTTAAAGCGAAAACTAAAGCAAACCCTAAACGTATACAACAACAACAACAAAGTCTTTTCCCACTAACTGGGGTTGTCTATATGAATCCTAAAACGCCATTGCACTTGTGTCATGTCTTTCGTTAGATCCAAGTACTCTAAGTCTTTTCTTAGAGTCACTTCCAAAGTCTTCATGGGTCTTCCTCTACCCCTTGGGCTCTGAACCTCTGTTTCGTGATCGCATCTTCTAGCCAAAGTGTCAATAGGCCTTCGTTTCACACGTCCAAACCCTCGTAACCGATTTTCTCTCATCTTTTCCTTAATTTCTGCTACTCCTAGTTTACCTCGGATATCCTCATTCCTAATCTTATCCTTTCTCATGTGCCCACACATCCAATGAAGCATTTTCATCCCCGCTACACTCATTTTGTGTACGTGTTGATGCTTCACCGCCCAACATTCCGTGTCATAAAGTAGTGCTAGCCTTATTGCCGTCCTATAAATTTTTCCCTTGAGCTTCAGTGGCATACGATGGTCACACAACATGCTGGATGTACTATTCCACTTCATCCATCCAGCTTGTATTCTATGGTTGATGTCTTCATCCAATTCTCCGTTCTTTTGCAAGATAGATCCTAGATAGCAAAAGCAGTCACTCTTTGGTACTTCTTGATCTCCAATCCTCACCCCTAGCTCAATTTGAGCCTCCGTTTGCACTGAACTTGTACTCTATGTACTCTATCTTTAACCGACTTAGGCAAAGACTTTTGCATTTACTCCTTCCTGAGTTTCGTCTATCAACACCATATCACCATATCATTTGCGACAATCATACACCAAGGAATATCATCTTGAATATGTCATGTTAACGTATACGAGCAATAAATCCTAATAACCTTGAGGGGCAAGCAATCCTAATCCTTGACCAACAAGAAAACAAATATCAATAATAACAACGAACACCCACAAAGTTTCTCTTCTCTGCTATTCCAGTCGGGGAAAAAACAGGAAGGTAATCTAGTTTTTTTTTTTTTTTTGGGTAAAAAAAGGCAATATAGTTTTGGGTCATCCTTGTTAACATCGGTAAATCGAAGCTTCATGCTTTCCTCTTCTTTTGGCCAAGCAGTTTGTTTCCTGCATAGAAATAAAATAGTTGTCTTGGAAATGCTAAGCTTGTGCAATTTGGGACACAGACGAATATAAGTACCCTATAAGTATGTTACAAATACAATACTGCATTGCATTCTTCTCCAATCTCCCAAGGGGAAGAGCACAAACAAGAAGACGACGAAGACGTTGTTGAGATGGAGTTCGCTGAAGAAGACTTTGATGCCTCACAGAACAGGATGATTGCCTTGCTTGAGGTCGCTAGGCTCGCTACCGAAGACCTGGTACAGGAGGAGCTTATGAAGCAAAAGAGGAAGATCAAGAAGCCTCTGCTGATAGATTGGGCGGCCAAGAAAAATAAGTCGTCGAATATTTCTTTCAAAAGAAACTGGGAGATGGTAGATGATCCTGGTGATGTTGATTGCACGCCAGTGGAACTCAAGATGCAGAAGATGTCGTTGAAGAACAATACCAAGAAAGGCGCAGACACGATGAATATCGCTTTGAAGAAGAAAGAAACGATTAGTCCTTCTGCCCCTCTTGGGTATCATGACTTGCCTGAAGAATTCAAGAGAGAAATTACGAGGTTGGGCGGGACTAAAGTGGAGTTGGTGATAGAGAAACAATTGACCAAGACTGATCTAAGTTCGGGAAATAGGATGTCAATGCCTCTAAACCAAATCGTTTCAATTAGTTTTTTGGAAGACGAAGATATGGAGATGCTTGAGAACGGCGAGACAATGACGGTTCGGTTGATAGACCCTGGTCTTGTACAAGGAGATATCAACTTGCGGCGGTTGGAAATGGGAAAAAACCCGATATATGCTTTGAGGACTCAATGGGGGGATGTTGCTCGGAAAAACAAACTCAAAGCAGCCGATCTCGTTCAAGTTTGGTCGTTTCGGGTTAATCGAGCGCTTCACTTAGCCCTAGTTTTGGCTAAGAGCAGCAGTGTTGAAGGGGATCATCAGGAGAGTGATGGTGGTGGTGATAGCGAGTGTCAGAGTAGTATTGTTGATGGCGGGAGTAGTAACAGTGGCGGTAGCGAGGCGGAGCAGAGATCATGGAAGAATGGAACAGGTGGTGACAACTACGGGATAATTAAAGGCTTTTAGTTATACTTTTTTCAAACTTTTGGATTAGGATTTTAAGTTTGACTTCCTGGATCAAAACATGTTTGTAATCATTCAGTTTCCATTCAAGAAGCATCTTAATTTTTTATGAATAAATGATTTATCGTTAATTTAACACTTATTTCATAATTAAGTTTCCTACATCTTTTAATTTTTATTTCTTCCAGCTTCAAAATCAATGGAACACAAAAAATCTATCGCGAATATCATGCGTAAATTATAACTTACGGGTTTTCATTTAATTTAAAGAAACAAAAAATAATCATCGTGAATATTGGCTTGCATGTTGACAAAGAAGCACTAGTAGAAATCTGGCCCAAGGCTTGATCATCTATGACAACTTTTTCCTCGAAGGCCACAAAAGAGCCACAGACTCCATGTCAGTGAAGTAGGAGAGTTGCTGATCATTTAGAGTGAGGATACTCGGCGGATTCTCTTTGCGAGGACCTCGAAGATCCTCAAATCACATTTGTTTATCGTACATTGTGCAGTAAAAAATTATTGCAAAATTTTTTATTTAAAATTGAATATAAACAATACATGACGAAAACTAACCGCACGATATACGATGAACGGATGTGATTGGAGGATCTGACGAGGATCCTCTCTCGATTATTTAGGCCCCAGATAACGGTATATGTGGCCCTGTGGGACAATGCGACGCCCACATAATTTTTACTAGCTAGTGCTTGTGCTAGAAAATATTTTATCACGAGAAGTTTATTCAATGTTGAGAATGACATAACAATGGATATTATGATTTAAAAAAATAATTCGCAAGACTGATTGAAAAACATGAGTATAGTTCACATTTTTTACAAAAATGTCTTTTGAGTTTGAAGTTTTAAGCCATTTGGAAGAAGTGTTCATACCATTCTTAGTCTAATAAGTATTTTTCTTCTAGTAAGTAATATGGCGTCGCATGTCATTGCCGCCTTTGTTGCTATGGAGAATTGTAATTGTCCAGGAAGTGGAAGTCCAGACATCTCCGAAATAGTTGCACGAATTACAGAGTGTCAATTCTTTCCTTGTCTTTGTGGGCAAGCAGTTTGTTTCCTATATAGATACGGATTTTTTTAGAAATTCCAAGTTCGATTAGTGTTATATTACCAGTGTTTCAGCAATTACAGTACCTAGTTTTGGAAGGATTCCTAAACCTGTGCGGGTTTAATTTCCTAAAACCCTAAGATTCCTATACTTGAAGGGCACGCTTCTAGTCGATCAGTAATTCCTAATCACACACTGATCAGTGCTGTAAAAACCTTATAAAATCTCAGTAAACCCCTGCAGGGTTAACCAGAACAATACATTTATATTTGTTCTAAGCTCTGTGCCATACTTCGCTGACCTCGTATCTTCTTCAATCTCTCGAAGAAGAAAAGGAAGAAGATAACATGGCGCGGTTATTAAGTGAGAAATACTTCAATGGCTTGACGGAGTGGCCTCAGAACTTTACCAAATTCGACTGGTTGGTTACTATTGCTGGGGTTGAAGTTGAGATGCATACGCAGGAGAAGAAACTGATGGACCGAAAGAGAGAAACTTTGATGAAAGAGAAGGCTCTCAAGAAGCCGATGCTAGTTGAGCCGCCCAAGAAACAAAGGTCGCCCCCTATCGATTCTACAGGGACAGATTATTCGTTGAAAAGAAAATGGGCTAGCAATAGCATAGATGATGATCGTGCGCCGAAGATGCAAAGGTCGCATGGCGGGCCGAAATTTTTTTTCCAAAGCATGTATGGTGGTGGTGATGATCTTGGTAGGGGTGACGTGGGATGCAAGAAACAAAATGTGATGCCGAAGGACAAAGTCAAGAAAGCCAAGGGATCGACCAAGAACTCTCTGAAGACGAAAGAACCAATTGGTAGTCCTTCCACGCCACCGAAATATCACGATTTGCCTGACGAATTCAAGAGAGAAATTGCAAGGTTGGAGGGGACTAGGCTTAGCTTGGTGATACAGAAGCCATTGACTATGACTGATGTAAATCAGAACGACAACAGGCTGTCAATGCCTGAAGCTCAAATCGTATCCATGGATTTCTTGGATGGTGCAGAGAAGGAGTTGCTTAAGGAAAATCAAACAATGCCGGTTCAGTTGATAGACCCTGGTCTTGTAAAAGGAGGTATAAACTTGAGACGGTGGCATATGAAAAAGAAACCGGATAAAAATAGCAGCAAACCGGAGAAAAATGGCAGCAAAATCTATGTGTTGAGAACTCAATGGGGTGCGGTTGCTAAGAGGAATAAACTCAAACCAGGTCAGCTTGTCCAGGTTTGGTCGTTCCGGGTTAATGGAGCGCTTTACTTGGCTCTGGTCTTGGTTAAGGAGAGTCGCGGTGAAGGTGATCATAAGGAGAGCGATGGCGGCCATAGCGGGGGTAAGAGTGGTGTTGTTGAGGGTGAAACTGGTGGCAGGTACTACTGGTATTGGTGGTAGCGGAGGAGGAAGTGAGATAATGGAAGAAAAGAAGGATGACAACAATGGGAATGCTAGTGGGGCAAGTACTGTGATCAATGGGTCGGACTATGCAAGTCCCAACCCTAGTCAGGACCATGCAAGTCCCAACCGTAGCGGAAGCAGGAAAGAAGATGCAGACGCGGAACCCAAACTCTAAACCCTAAACTGTAAACTCACACGCCAAAAGATGACCTTTTTTATAAATCCTTAGATGTGTGCAATTAATTTTTTGGAATAAATTTTTTTTTTCTTTGATATTAAGATTTTTGGCTTCACTATATCACTTTGTTTCCCATCAATACTTGGGAATTAGTACTATAGTCTACTGATCAGTTTTTTATGGTGCATTGAAATTTAGTTCAGTTCGAAAGAAGAAAACCTTGATTTTACTTGTGAGGTCAACATTTAAATTTTGTTATGTACACGAAATAAAATTAAACAAACTTGGAGAGGCAGCATCTTATGTCCAACAATCCAGTACAACCAGAGAAAATAGGGTGTTCTACCTTCGGATCATGTGTCTGTATGACCATATACACAAGATCAAAATCTTTGTATATTGTGTATCCTACATAATTATTCATGATCACACTCATAAAAGAGTGCTACATATTGCTGGTCGGACACAAGAATTCCTTCTTGTTGATATCGTAATGGTAATAAAAATAAAAATAAAATGATCCCAAGCCAACAAAACTACTCACCTTGCAAAAATTAAAAGAAAGGAACGTATATCGTAAAAAATTATTTATACGCATTACCATTTTGATACGACCTGAAAACTAGTACCAATTAAAATGGTAATGCATAAAAATAATTTCCTACAAGTCCTTGTGGTGGGTAAAGTTGACCACGTGGATCATTATTTCTGGCCTAAACCAAGCAGAGAAATTAGGACCGCTCGTGTCCACAATATCTTATCTTTCCTCATAACAATTTATCGTCACCCTCCCACAAATACAAAGGATCAGAAAATGCAGAATTCAAGATGTAATGCAAGTTAATAAAAAAGCAGAAACCAAAAACCAAGCAGAAGATATGGCGCATCATTTGCTAGCGAGCTACCCCAACATATCAGGAAAACTCAGCAAAGAAATTTCATCATATGGATATACTCCTTCTAGACCAGCTAACATTTTTAGGACAAGTAGTTCATCTTCTTCTTCAATGCAATGCAGAAGCAGCAGCAGTTCGACGTCGTCGGCCGATCAGGAAGAAGTAGGGTTTGTGAGGAGTGGGAAGTTTGGTATTGACAGAAAGGGAGAGTTCAGGTATTTGGTGAGTGAGTTTGGTTGGAAGGTCAGGAGTTTGTTCAGAAATGGGGATGAGGTGAGGAAGGCAGCTTATGTTCAAGCTGAAGCATTTCATGAACCTGTATTTCTCTTCGATGATTTCTTCTTCACCTTCTTCCAGGTTTTTCTTATATCCTCTACTTTTTTATATAAGCGATATTTTACTTTAAACGTTGTTTTTACTAATGAAAACAAAATATTTTACTTTACAAATTTAAACTGATCTAAAGTGCGAGAGAGAGATTTAAACTCGGGTGCATAAAAGCCATATTTGCTTTAATCCTTTAACGAAAATGACTACGCTCATGTCTGTTTAATATTCTTTCTTGTTTTTTGGTTACTCTTCAAATTTCATCATCATATATGGTCATAAGTTTTAGTTTAATTTGGTTTCTGCCAATACAGGCTGAAGTGCTTTCTGGGCTTGTATATAAACTTAGGAATTCACCCCCAGATAGGTAAACAATTTTATTTGAAATTGCAATGTACACTGTCAGATGTATTATTTAGCGTAATAATTATGCGTTTTTATGGTATCTCATTAATAATTCAACAGATACGCTTGTTTAGTTGCTGAGTCTACCCCTGAAACTTCCGAGTCACAAGAACTTGTGGGAGTTGCGGACGTCACGGCGTCGAGGGACCAGGCCGTCCTTCGGCATCTCCCATCTAGGGCACCGGAATATCTTTACGTGTCCGGCATTGCTGTTTTGAAGAGTTTCAGGAGGAAGAAAATAGCAACCGTTCTGCTAAAAGCGTGTGATGCGCTCTCGGTCGAATGGGGTTTCGAGTATCTTGCCCTCCGGGCATATGAAGACGATTACGGCGCTCGCCAATTGTACTCGAACGCAGGCTACCGAGTTGTCTCCAGCGATCCTCCATGGCTGAGTACTTGGATTGGACGGAAACGCCGTGTTCTGATGGTCAAACACTCTACTAAGACATGATACGTTAAATCATTGTGTGTTTGCAACGTAAAGGTAGCGATTTTTAACGAGAAGTGTTAAAATCGCTAGTCATAAATGACTAACTCATACCATCGCTAACAAAGAAAGAACGACGAAGTTCGAATAGCCGGCAAAAACTATGAGCTTTTATAGTTTTATTGAGCTAAGAAGTTTGTCCAAAGAAAAAATAAAATTAAAATACAATATTCCTTTTTTCTGCTCTATTTTTTTTACCTTGGGCAAAACTACAAATTTGGTATATGGACTGGAGGGTTAGTTGTTCCTTGCGGAGAAACAATGGCTGTGCAAGTGAGGGCGTATATATCCATCATCCTACTAATTCATGAATTTCCGACAGTTGGGAGCTTTACATAGACACGGGACTTTGAATTCGTCAGGCTCGTTAGGATCAAACAAGTAATCGTACCTGCCAGAGGCAACAACGGAATATGCAGCAGCGTTAAGCTAATAGCTTCCTCGTAAAGAACTGAGAGAGAGAGAGAGAGAGTGAGAGAGTGAGAGAGTGAGAGAGATACATACGTTAGCTCATCGCCGCAAGTTACATCAGCCTTTGCAATAAGTACAATCCGGCTTTCTTCATCACCCACACTCATGATCCTCGCATAGCAATTCGGCATGCACTGTAGTAAAGAAAGGCAACAACAATAAATCCGTAAAGACAAGTCAGGGAAACAAACTGACAACAAGTAGATGATTGAATCTATTGAAGAACGGTGGAGGAGCAAATCATGTACGGACAGCACCCTAACATTTATCAGAATGACTTACCGAATGGTTGATCAGGCGTGCTATATTTCCTTTATCAGTGGCATCTACAACCACTTCTTCACTGATCTTAAACAACTGCAGAGTAAACATGAGCCATGAGAAAAGAAGCAAAAACGGAAAGAAAAAGGAATGCAAAGCATTTAAGAGCTGAAATTCTAGCTGGAAACAGAACTTGGGAAACACGGGGCATGAGAGATAACTAAAGCCAATTTTGAAGGTAATAATTACACCACTTGAAAAGAATTCAACTCACATAACAGTCTTTGCCTTCTGATCTATACCGTGTCTCCCTAAGATCTGCAACACTACGTCTCACCTGTTCACCACGATATTCAAGAACCTGAAACAGACGTATGCTTCTTAGTACATTCTGTTTTCAACATAGTGGATTAACTTCTCAAGATACAAGAGCTTTTACACTTAATGAAGGGAAATGATTTGAAAAGACAACGTTCAAATTCCATATACCATTTCTCCTTCTTGTATGTCTCTACGGGCAAAGAGACCCCATCCATGTATCCCAGATTTACCAAAGCAAACACGATCATGTTCTGTTCTCTGCATTCATGCACATATAGTAAGAAAATCGAACATTGAATATTGAATGGGAAACGAGGACGATACTTGCCTGTAAATGTTGTAGCCGTTCCCTAAAAGACGAAAAAGTTGGACGATCCTCTACTACCTATTGAAAAAAAAAAAAAAAGGTCAATTTGAGATTAGTTTATTTTAAATCTCATATAAAAGGGGAAATACTATTTCATCAAACTCTGAAAAGGCAAAAAAGTTACTCTGAATGTGTTCAAACTTCGAATTGCTTCCAAGGGATGATGGGAAAGTCCCTTCACATGGTGGGCAACGGTTTCTTCTTCTGCTCTCTAGAATCAGAGAAAAAAAAACAGTGAGAAAAGATCAGGCTAATTACATATCTAATAATTCAACAATCTAACCGTTTATGTCAACTGAGGATCACTATAATGTTTATGGACAGATAACTACGCATCAAGGTAGAATACCTTCTTATTATTTTTCAATCTATTGTACACCCGGCATCTTGCAGCAGATAATGGCTCGGGCTCGGACTCAGGCTCCGTCGTTTCAACTGTCAAAACCTCTTCAAGCTTTGTTCTATTAGATGAAATTAACCTTGAACCAGGCTTCTTCTTATTTTGGAGAAGGCTTTTCGCTGAAAACACACCTAGAGGAGTCTGTATGATTAAAACCGTATCTGGATTTGGAGCCCTGCACGAACATTGAAAAACAGAAGAGTTGGGAGAAACTTACATATGTACAAGAAAACCAACAATTTGGGAGCAAATGGACATAAGACAATATGAGAACCCACACCTGTGGTAAGCACAATAAGAAACCATTTTTGTGGTCTGTTTTCCATTTTTCTCCAAACAATGCAACTGCATATTAAGAATGCAATTACATATCACCAGATATACGAGTAATCTGATTCATAATGAGAAGGTGCCATAGATATGAATATAATGAGAACAAACAAAAAGCAATAAGATACTCACCTCCATGCGATAACCTGCCCTTGAGGCACACATTGCATGGTAATAAGTCGAACACTTGCAACATTGCGTGCATGAACCATGAATTTGCTTACAAATAACACAAATCTGAAGCAGATGTGAACAACCCAAAAACCCTTAGATTGCATCCTCTAAATATTTCAGAGTTCAATCCGTAAGATAAAATTAAAAGAACAAACTAGACTCGCAACCAATGACACGATGCATTCTGGAACATTTCTAGATCCACTGTGTCAAAGTTATCACACAACTCAGTTCTTTATTCACTAATTATAGATAAGAAGGGTCAGGTGTCACTTTTTTTACATTACCATGTTTGTTACATTTAAGAATAGAAGTCTTCGAAAGAACATTGTCAATTTCAATCATATGATTAGATGTAATGTATAGTAACCTTATCCTGAGTTTGAATTGGAATAGCCAAAAAACAGTAACCTTATCCTGAGTTTGAAATGGAATAGCCAAAAAACAATATACGAGAACAAAGAACGCACCTTCACAAAAGAATTTGATGGAATACTCAAGATACCAAGAGCAGGCTCCATCTTTTCATCACTTGCAAAAGAGACTTCAGGTCTGAACCAAGCACATGTAATATGAACCCACAATCTGTCAATATCAGTTGGCTTTAACGCACCTCCTGCAGGGGAAAAAGTAGATAAGCAAGATCAGATCAAAGACATGAGATCATGACAGCTAAGTGAAACCTGATGACATGACAGTGTATGACTCAACAAATCCACTCTAGCTAGAAACTTGCCTTTGACAGGACAGAGGCAACATTCTTGCTTGACTTTGGGTGTTTCACATGCTTTGCAGACCCACGAAGTGAAATCCCGAACATTTCTTGCTCCATAGCATTCTTGATGGACGGCTATCTGACATCTGATAAAAAAGAAACATTAAACATTGCCTGGTTTTCATGCCTTTATAACCCATGGGAGTCTCTAAGGGGCATCGCACAGTTGGTCCTCCAACATCACTGATTTGACAATGATAACTAATGAACTCTATTGATGATACCTATTGCAGATGATGATTTTGTTATAGTCCCAATCTTCAACCCATCTACATACAGCGCATCGTTCTGTTGTCCACTTGGCATGAACAGGTTCATACTTTTCTGTAATAGTAATCAAATAAATGCAGTTAGTTTACATCAAATGTAGAATTATATGCATAAATATAGAAAACAAACATACCTTGCAAAAAAGTGAGCAACTTCTGCTTTCGTTCTTTAATAGAAGGCCGTTTAGGGGGTTTAGAAGACACAAGAGCATTTTCATGATACTCTGCTAACTGCAACATCTGCAAAGTCAAGTGGGACTGCAATATGAGTATGATTCCCAAATTGAGAGGCCATAGGCATACTATTGAACAATGGGGAGTAAACTCGAAGAATAGTACCCATTGTTCCAGTGGCAGTAAGGAACCTTTCACTCTGACACTAGTCCTCCAATTTCTCGATTTGGAACCTGTGTGTCGCTCCCATTCACTGAGTGCTTGCTTTTCTGCCCCACAGAATCCACACTTGCACACGACACTGAAACATAAGAAAGAAAATGTATATGAATAAGATCTCAAACCAAAGTAATAATCAAATTGACTTATTAAGGCAAAAAAAATTAACGGTTAAGTAATATGAATTTAACCACCAAGACTAACATCAATTATAAGTCCTAAGAAAAATGGAAAACCATTCATTCTTATGCTTACGAGTGAAGACTTGGAAAATAAATGCCTTCCACGCAGTTGCAGAGAACAGTAACCTTGTTAGGCAGCACCAATTGACCGTTATTTTTACTCCATCTGCATCAGAAACTCTATAATCAATAGGGACAAGTCGGTGAAATAATAAACCCAATTCACTCATAAAATTAAAATTTGGATAAACTTACTTTGCATTTGGTTGCCCCCTTTCAGAATCTGATAATTCAAAATTAAACTTGACCTTGCATGTAGGGCAGTAGTAATCAGTGCCTCCCAAGTTCTTCAAAAAGGAAATAACACAGTCAGGGAAGTCTAGAATCTCTTTAAACTAATTATGAATGAGAAAAACAAAGAAGTTGGGTAATTTAATATAATAGACGGACCTTAAAAACGTTGCTGGAAATTTTGTCACATTCTGCATGCACCCACACTTTACAACCATCACATCGGACCTACTCCCAAAGGAAATATATAACAATAAATTGACAATGAACTGCACTCTAAAAATAGGAAGTACAAATCACAAGCCAAGCATAGTTTGTAGGTTTCCTCACCCAACTTCCACTGTCTGAATCATTCCAAATCTTCTTGCATATCCCACAATAATGTTTCGATTTTACTAACTGCAATAAGAATGATGCAAGTATTGTCAACAATGCACAATATCCGGAACGCAGAGAAAACCTTCTTTTACTTTTATTAAGCACTGAATTTAAAACCAATAAATAACACCTAACACAAGGCAGGTCATACTAACCCTAGCACACAGTTTACAAAGATATTGGCCTCCGGGAGTTGGATCCTTCATTTTCTTTATCATTTTAAAAGGAACGTAAAAGCTGCAGCCTTCACAGGGTCGTATGTCTTTCTTCTTCCCATATACATCCTGCTCAAAGAAACCAAATTCAATACATTGGAAATAAAAAAGAGAAGTGTTTACTATTGCAGCAAAAACCTCCCCTTTTCAACAGCTGAGAGAAATAAGGAAAGAACATAGTTTGAACCTAAGGTATATTTACACTGGATACTTGGATAGCCAAGCAAAGAAGCACAGTTCTGTAAACTTCTCAATAACTAAGCAAAGCAATAGCCAAACTTCCATTAGCAACCCCGTTCTGATGATATCAAAACTGTTTGAATTAATTTTTGGATGGTGTTTGAGAAATTCTATGTTCAAT